TTCTTTTTGTGCCGCAACCAAAAAAAAAAAAGCCCTGGTTCATTATTTAAGTGGACTGATGCAGTTCTGTTTTCTTGCACAAGAGATCAGGGTCAGTGCCTCTGTGTTTCCAGCAGCAAAATTAAGTGGAGTTGCCTGTGAGCACCATTGAAAATCATGTCAAAGCGATCCTGCCAACAGCTGACACAGGGTATAATCACAGCAGAGGAAGAGTCAAAATGAGGGACACCAATGAATAAACCCTCTGTCTTACTCATAACAAATGGGAGCAGGGGAGAGAGAGAAGCCTTTTTCCTGTTTCAGGAGCTTGAGCCTGTTTTGACCAGACGTTTATAACTGAGATGAAGTCCCTACCAAAGGTCCATGCAGTGAATATAGTCTAAATCAAGATAGGATCTTCCTTCAAGAGCAGATTAGCTATAAAATCCAATTCATAGCTGAACCCTCTCAATAGATGTTCCTAATACATTTCGTAATCAGTTTTAATTTTCCTCAATTATTATGCTCTCTAGGCATTTACAACTGCAGTTTGTCTTATTACCAAATTGCTAAAGAAAGATTCTGACACCTGATATCTTTTTGACTCTGATTTTCTTTTGTTCTGTACATGTAACTTTTAGCTACTTCAAAACTGCAAGAGATTAAATAAAACGGAGTTATTGTTCAGAGGAGGAAAAATGTCTGGGGCAGGCATTTGTGGGATGCTTTTTTAGGTGAAGAAAATTTAGTGGCATCAGTATAGGATAAAGAGATTTACAAAAATATGTCTGTGGACCAATCTTCATCTGCTGTAAACAATTGGAGTTTAACTGAATTAGCAGTGTTAAATACCAGCTGAGGAGTTGGATAATGTTTCCACTTTAACTGATCTACTGTGATTCACTGACACACACTCCTTGTCTTGGTAACTCCCGTAAAAGAGGAACCTGCTACCATTTTCAGTGGTTTGAGATGCTAGAGAAAAATACTTTTGCAATAAATCATAATAACAATGAACCTCAGATGGCCTTTCACTTAATAATACCTTGATTTTCTCCTTGGAGAATGCCCATATTGCCAAGTTTCTGCACAGCCTTTGGGTAAGTTAGCATACAGAGATCATGAACCACATCCCAAATAGTCACAAAATGTCCCAAACTACATACTTTTCTTAAAAAAAAGTAAATAAAATGGCCTAAATTTGGCAAGGAATGGAGACACCTCCGTAACATCATGCATGCAGGGTCGCAACTGACTTCACTGTTTGTCTTCAGGTGAGGAAACCCATGGTTCCTCTGGTTATTAAGTATTTTATTAAGCTATTAAATACTCAGTATTTTACTCAACAGCACAAGCCCCTAGTATCTACCTGGGGATTTTTGAAGCAAATTATTTTGAAGAAGAGGCAACAAAGTAAAACAACTTTGTATTGCTAATGACAGTTTTGCTTTGTAGGATAAAGTGTTTTACCAGCTTATTAATGATTTATTTGTTGCATATAATTTTTAAAAACAAATTCAGGTTTATTGATTTATTAGCTTTTCCTGCTAATTTTCCCAAAGTATCGTATATGCATCAGTCTTCATGAAGCTACTGTGTAGGTTAACAGCTAATTTACTCTTCTGTTTGTTTTTTATTCTAGTATTCACAAATGCGGGATGAAGTGTTCAAATCAAACCTGGTGTGTGCATTTATTGTTCTTGTATTTATCACCGCTATCCAAAGCTTACTTCCTTCTTCCAGGTAAATACAGAAATATATCTCTATATATCTGAAGGCGCTTTTGGGGAAACAGCGGGATAACATTTCTAAGATTGACGTGGAATGAACTAATCAAATCTGCTTATTTCACAAAAGTGCTTAGAAATATTTTTTCACTATTTTCCCAATATTAACGATTTTTATATCACATTATCTGCAGCTACATGCTTTCATATAAGACAGTAGCATCTACTGACATTCTGTTGTTACGTTTTTAAACATAACCTTAAACTAAAAAAGTTTTTAAACAACTTTAAGCAAAGTTCCCACTGAGATAAGTGGGAACTTTGGGTGACAAAAGTTTGAAACACTACAGCCTGCTGCTCCCCGTGTTGAAGAAACACAGGATCCAGAGTGCTCTTTGCTAAGTGCCTAAACAGTGCCTCTTTCCTAAGTGACTGGTAATCACCCAGGGCATTGGTAGTGGTTTTGGTTTTGTTTCTTACATGCTACATAACAAATTTGTACTGCTGTGCCTTGTTGCCGATGATATGTATTACCCAGCTGGGGAAACCAATCTTGTGCCATTAAGAAGAACAAAGGAGGTGATCTGGTAGATCTTTTCTCACTTCTGCTTTTACCTGGGACTGACCAAGTAACTTTCTGTCAACATGATGAAAATGTGACATAGCTGAGACCTCTGTGTCCGCATGTTTCACAAGGTCAAACCCATCAACTGGCATTTTTTTCTACTATTTAATAGTGAGAACACAAGAGCTTATAGAAGGACTAAGGTAATTTTCTAGCATCATAGCAGAGCCAGAAGAACATGACTGCCACTAAAACACACCCCTTGTCCCATTTGGTCTTTGGCAGAGCAGGTGCTGAAATGGGAATGCCCAGATGAACATAATTCTCAGGTGGTTTCTAACATTCAGATGAACCTTAAGGTATGTCTGCCTGTAGAATAACCTTGAAAATACAGCATTTGTATAAGAAATAAGAGATTTATTGTGTTACAGTAATGCAGCAATAATTCTTGGATGGTCTCTGGAAGACCTGCTTCGCCACGTTTATGTCTAAGAATACCAAAATGGTGGTTACATGTGAGCAGACAGCTGCACTCTGCAGCGGTGGTGTCCCATGCATTTTGTAGTTCTCAGCTGGGAAAGCACCCAGAATAGTACCTGACCTTCTGCTGTTTCTTATGTGGTATATCGCTCTAATACTAGTAAGTTTGTTTGCTTTTTTAAACTTCTTCTCCCTATACACATTCAAAACTCTTCACTTCTGGTAGCTGTTATTTTTATTTTTTTTTCTCAATATGTGCAAGATTTATGGATCTTATTAATGGAACCTCTTTTCCAAAAAGATTTCTGCTGGTCTATCAATCACTGCTATACCAGAAAAAAAAAAAAAAAATTGACATTTTTCTATCTGCACAAATTCATCTTCGTTAATTCTCGTGAGGGTGTCTAGTGCCATTGGAATTAGGGTAGGAGTCACATAACCACACTGCCTGCAGCTGTCTCACTTTCTCGTTTCCCATCTTGCACAGTAGTCTTGTGTTTTTCCCTGCATTTCAGAAATGCTTTGTGGACCTTTTTGTCGCTGAATGTTAAAGAGGCTGTAAATATAAATAGTTTCAAATAAAGATTAGCTGAATTCCTACAAGATAAGTTCAGCAGAGGTTTTAAAACAAAATTATAGATCCTTGTCCTCAAGAATGCCGTTAAAGGTTGATTGCTGGAACCTGGGAAAACATTTAGGGAAAGGATATTTTTCACTGTCTCTTTTGTGAGAGATTTGGAGCCACACTGGTGCTTTGTGGCAGTTCTTATATTCTTTCAGGAGCTGAAGATTCCTGTCAAGATTTAAGGCAATTTTGGTCTTTTTTTTTCAAGTTCTGACACTCTGCTTCAAAAAATGTGTTTCATTCTTAAAAAAGCACACTTGTTAAGTGATCGGGGGTCAACAGCTGAGCAACCCTAAGATAACAAGATGAGGGGTTTTGAGTGAGAAAGTTTCAATATGCTTAAATGCACTGAATGAGGAAATAATCCGGAATTTCACATTTCCTAAGTTCCAGTTCTACAAGCAATTCAAGTTATAAGCACATTAACAAGCTATCACAAAGTTAGGCAGGATTTGGACTGAGAGTCTTGAAGACAACTACATGCCCATCTGTTGCATCTAGTAAATATCAGAGAAGTCAGCTACCACAGTGGAAGAGCACAGACATAATTTCCAGAGAACTAACAAACTGTAATTCACACTACTCATGGTAACTTACCCATTTCCTAACAACACATCTAAGTGTCTTTAAAGGAATGCTTCAGAGCTCTGTTGAACAAGGATGGAATTTTGTATTTGCTTAAGTACGTGTTTTATGTTGTTTTTTTTTTTTTGAGCTGAGTCTTTTGGGGATTTCTGGAAATTTAGTGAAAGAAAACATTATTTAAATCATTGTAAAATGCATCCTACTAAGGATCTTCAGGGAGTTTCCCAGTAGGTTGCCTTAGTCTGTGTATTAAAGAAGGGAATCATCTTTCTGCTATTTAATGTACTGTGTAGGGGAGTTCCAGAATTTTATTTCGGTCTATATCTGTCTCCTGCAGGATAAATAGTTGATCCATTTATACTTTTCCATGACAGGGCAAGCATATCACTAAATTTAAAAATCTTTGCAATATTTTCATTCTTTGAAGTATTGAGTTTGGGAAATTCCTCTAAGTGACATAAATTAATGCCATATTTTTGCTGTAATTATGCTCTATGGAGCCATTAAGCTACACTGCCAGCCTTGCGGTGATTCATCTCCATCTGAGAGGCCTGGGAGTTTGATTAATTTCCTGTAATGAACCTTCTGTATGCTCACATGGGCAGTAGATCATACTAGAGCAGACCGATGAACTACTCTTATTTCTGTCAGTTTTTCTCTAGGTTATTCTTGTGAGGGGAGAAAAACATTTCAAACTGTTGTTCATTTAAACATCTGCATCACCTTGTTGTGTAAGTTTTCTTCTGGCTCAACTCTTGATTTGTGACCGTACACAAAGAAGAGGGAAGGCAAAAGATACGTTTCAAACTTCATTTGATCTTGACAGTAAAAGAAAGCCTAGAAAGAAAAGCGTTTGGCCTTGAATCTCTTCTTGAATGAAGGGGGGATCCAACCCAGGTATCCTAGTTCTGGGAGAAGTTCATGGTCAGGAGAATATTACGGCTATTTGTTCCTGTTCCTCTAACTGTGGCTATGTCTTCTGCTTACTGGATCTTATCAGCATGCTGCCAATAAAATTTTAGCACAGATATTGGATTGATGCTCTAGGAAGTCATAAGTGTGCAGACTTCAGTTTTGTTTTCATCTCAAACAGTCTTAGGCAAGAAACAAACACATCGATGTTCAACTGAACAGCTACAGTGGAAGATTTTTTGTTGCCTATATGCTTACTATGAACAAACACAAGGCCAGGGTTTCTCAGGCACCTAACCAGCTTATGCTGCATTTTGGATTGATATCCAAGCCTTAGGTCTATAAATGCTCCCTTTATAGTACCTTAATTCAATAGCACTGGGTATTACACGTAGAGTTCAGCAGTCCAAAATAAGAATTCATGTGTAGTTTCCTCAGGTCTGACCTCTTGAGGCTTGACCCTAATCTTTTTGAAAGCCTTAACTTAGTTTCATTTAGAGCTGGGTCAGGCTAGGTCTGCAGAATTGGTAGGCTACATCTGCATGTATAGACCGTCTATATATATCTGAGATATAGATAGAAACTATCAGTTCCAAAGAGGATCTCAGTCATTTGGCTTTGGAAAGCAAGGAGGCTGCTGCAGAATACTGCTGTAGTGTGGGAAACAAAGAATTCATCTCACATAACTATCTGTCAGTGTTTATAAACCAGGTTCAAAGTATAGCCACTGGAGATCGGGTGAATCGCTGGATCTGAATAAATCTAAGAGCCTGATGCAAAGGAGGAAAAAAAAGCTATGTTGCTTTCACTTCTGTTTCCACCTCACACCCTTAAATTTGCCTTGCCTTAGGGCACAAGTGTATAAATAGCATTGCACCCTACCCAAAGAGAAGAAGGATGTGTGATGTGCAGCAAAATGTGAAACTTCGTGTTTTCAATAAGACAAAACATACGTTTACAGAAGGCTTAATGAACAGGGTACAGCTTACCTACATTCAGGCACCTGGAAGTGCAGAAGTATCCCTTCCTAAGAGCACCCTGATAGTCTGCTTTCGAAGATTTTTTTCTGTGAGATGTTACAATTAAATCACTGCAGTGTACTGGCACATATATAACTAAGTTATTAGAAATTTCAATTACTTAATCTAAAGCCTCAAGTTTAATCATTCTCCTTATAGCAAAAAAGACAATGGGAAAACAGAGTGAAGAGGGGAGAGGTTTGCAGGAGCAGTGTTTACTTTTATTTTGAATGGGTTTGATCTTTGGGAAAAGAGACACCGGAAGACAGTGACTGGCACAAATGGGGACAAAAACTCGACGTTTGAAGTGCTGGGTGCTTTCTTCTCAGCGAAGTAGATCATTTTACTGCATTTCTCAAGCACATTGGTCACTTGATTGACTTCAAGTCCCAGATTTAAGCAAGAAAGAGGAATAAATTTACAAAAATATAATGAAAGTTGGACTAGAAGAAATTATGGGTTTCAATGTTTTATTCAAAGGAATTGAACTGTCTGTTCTATGTATGCACTTAACAATGCTTGATTAAGGATCACATTTGCAAGAACAAAGTTTATAGGGTGTGCCAAATGACACGGTTTTTTTAAACCTGTTTGGATCATAGAATACCTTTTCATCTGCTTTACATTTTAAAGAGCTTCCATGAAAACACTAGATCAGTTCTTTTGGTTTTTTTAGAAACCGGTGAGATACTTAGCTGCAGTTGACCCCGTGCTAATTAAAATCAGGGGAATCTTGCATTTCTGTAATTACTGTATCTGACGCCCGAAATCAGGCTGCATTATTGTACTCACTTTCAAGTCTGTGACCCTCAGTATAGTATAAGACACCTGTGTTGTGCTGTATACAAAATAACACTCTACTAAACTGCCCCCAAACTAGCCTACTAGAGTGGGAACCAGCTCATACATATGTGGCATCAGGATCCTACAGGCTGAATAGATTTTCTCTGAAAGAAACTTAAGGGATGACTGAGTCCCAAAAGAAAGGACTTTCCTGCCACTCAGACTCCATACAGACAGAGGCACTGACAATCACTTCCCTGGTTTGTTTCTTCAAAAGCAGTTTCTCAGCAAGAAACTGTGTGAAGCAATGGCAGATCTATAGAACATGAACAAATCTTTGCTTTCTCTGGGTTTTTTTTCCTAGACTAATTGTCTCAGATTTATGACAACTGATTATTCCTAGTCTTAACTGTTACATTTATTTTTATTAGCAGTGGTATTGTGTTGAGGTTTAACGCTGTGTTTTCTTTTTTTTTTTTCTTCCCAGGGTGATACCAATGGTTGTTCAGTTTTCTATTCTGATTATGCTGCACTCTGCTCTTGTGCTAATCACTACAGCAGAGGATTACAAATGTTTGCCCTTAATGCTCCGGAAAACTTGCTGCTGGATTAATGAGACCTACCTGGCCAGGAATGTCATTATATTTGCATCCATTCTGATTAATTTCCTTGGAGCCATCATCAATATCGTAAGCTTACAGGGAACCAAGCAATATTATACAGGAAAAGATGATTTATGAATAGTTAAGCTTGCTACAGGACTTGCTAACTAATGTGTTTATAGGCCAACTGTGATTTAAATATAAAAGGCAAAGTATCACAGCTTTAGGAAATTTAATCTGTTGCTTAAACTATGTGTTTCTGAAATACCTAATTGCTTCTCCCTCATGAGTATCATCTATTTTTAAAACCCTTTTGCTAGTTTCTGTTCAATATATCTACCCTTTGAAGCCCATTTGTAATTTTATGACATGTTGATACACTTTCTTAAAGACTGCCAGTCCAAGTAATGCTTATAGAAAATTCCTCATCTCACTGTTCTCCCATTAATTAGATTACTAAAAAAATGAGAAGTGTCAACGAACCGAGAAGATACCTTCAAAAAAGGATGGAGCAGGTCAAAGTGAGACAGTAACCACAGCATGTAAAAAGGAGTCAAAAAGCGTAAATTCTGAACATATCTTGCCTTGCTCATTTAGAGGTTTGACAAACCCCTTCAGCCCAGATTCACCTTAGCTGAACTACCAAACCATGGGCATAGTCACTCTGCCCTTCTTTTACAGCCAATGCAGAAAAACAGACATCCCCAAAGATTTCTTTTGATCATACTGGTCCCAATAAAGAGATTTTTCTCCCTCCACTGCCCACACAGGCAGTCTAGTCTGATTTGGCTCCTAATTTATACATCTTCACTAAGACTCTAAAGTGTGACAAATCTAGAGCGAAGTTTATCAGTATGTCTGTGAGCAAAGGCATGTACCAAGATTTGCTTAGCAGCTGTGGTTAGATAACAAATATTGGTAATTGAATGCTGTGGGCCTGGCTCTATACAACGTTACGAGGTAGAAGAGTGGGGTCTTGCGTGCGAATACAATAGAGCTGTGATTATCCTGATGTCTTCAGAAATATGCTTTGCATTAATTAGGCAGATTATCATGTCAGACAACCTGGCAGGTGTTGAAGTTTGAGCCAAGAAGAAGGTAAATATCTCACTGATAGATTAAAAGTAACATTTTCATCACTCTTTTTTTTTCTCTTGTAGGGCACCTTTCGGTTACGGCTGTAGCCGTGCTTTTTCATCTGAACTGTATTCTCTGTAAATATTTATTTCCTTCTAGATGAGACCAGGAAAGCAATTAGTGACAGCAATAACAATAGCAATTATAACAACACAACAGCAACAATAATTATCCTGCAATAATTAATAATAATTATGATTATGTAATTGGAGTAAGTATGCTGAAGTCTGACACTTCAAGGGTTTGCCTCAGTTTTGCTAACAGATATGAAATTTTATTATGTTCTATTGCTCTCGTTCTTCCATGATTGAATTCAGGTTGCCAGTAAGCAAGGACTCAGCATCTGTCTGGGTTTTTAGTGATACCATGCAGTCACTGATAGGAGAGTTAGTAAGAGAAAGATGAATATAGCCACTGATTGCTATCCTTACAGAGAAAATACAAATGCGGTAAAAGACAGGAAGTTGAGTGGGGCTGAAAACTTCCAGACAATAAGGACAGTGGTATGTTATAGTATAGATCACTAAGGACTGTTGCGGAATTTAGATTTTTTTAAAATCATATTTGATAACTAGCTGTCAGGAAATATTTTGCTAGAATTAGTCTTGCTCTTGAAACAAGATGGTCTCTAACAGGTTATCCATACCCAATTTGCTATGGATGTGTTGATAACAAGATTTTCCCGACTTGTGGTGGATTATTTTTTTAAGAGCTTTAAGATTATGTTCACTGCAGTCTTGTGGGATGGCGAATCCAAAAGCAGTCAAAAGAAATACAATTCTTTTTACTGTCATACCAGTGGGTTTCTACAAAGCAGTAAACAGTTATATTTATATATTTAGAACGGCAATGACTTGAGTCACCGAGTCCTGACCTCTACAGGAAATCACAACATTCCTAGAACTTCACTGTTTCATAGGTCAAAATTCTGCCATCATAATAGTTTGCTCAGGAGGTACCCGCATGCATTTAAGAACAGGTAATGCAGCTCAGCCTTGGAGGTATATGCGTCCACCGAGTACAAATGCACCCAGTCAGAGCGTCTAAGGCTCAGATGCTTTCTAACAAAGGCCATAAGGCTTTGGTTTCACCAGGGGGGCAAATGAGTCTTGTGGTTCTTTACAAGAAGTGCATTCTTATTGTTATAAAATTGGAACAAGGTTTCTGATCCTGAAAGTCTTTTAAAAAGACACCCAGAGTGGTTCTCATGGCACTCTGCCCTGCGGAGATGTGCTGTACACCTCATAAACTTTCAGAAGGTACCATTAACTATCTGTTACAGGTAGTTATGGAGGACTGCACAGGTAACGCAGATAATGTTGCTGTATTGCAGAGACGACTGAGTTGCTGAGAGAACAAAAAAGAGAGTTCCAAGTTCAAAATTCATTAGAATTTAATTACAAGAAATCGGGCCTCATTAAACAAATTCTCTAACTCTGTTGCAAAGAAAGAAAGGGGAACTAGCTTGTACACACCAACTTGATGAAATGATCTAGTGTAAACATCCAGATTGGATTAATATATGTAACAGGAGACTCCATCTGCTTTAACTGTCAAAATATGAAACCATTAATGATATTTTTCCTGTGTTCTACGACCATGTGTATCACAACTCAACGCTGCTGTTCTGTTTATATTTAACACTTGGTTTGAAATATCATTAAAATGAATGCAGGTCACAACAGCAAAAGACAGTATTACATTCTCAAAACCATTGTATCACGAATGAATTTTCATTCCCTTCCTTTCTAGGCATCACATTTGCAGTTCTGGGACCACGTTATGTTTTGGCACAAGCCAATTCTGCATGATGCCATGGGATTTTGTCCCACCTCTAGAAGGATAACACTGCCCATAGCAACGTAGCAGAAAAAAAAACGCTTGCAAGCAAGTGCTCACATGCAATAAGATTTTATGCTCCCAATTTAATAATTTGCTCTATAGTTTATAGCAAAGCATAACCATTTTGAGAGGATAATTCTTAAGAGTCCAATATCAGTCTCTCTGAAATTCACAGAGGCGCTCATCTTTTCCCTTTGGCAACAAGAGAGCATAGGAAGGCTACTCAGATGTTGGATGTCTGTAGCATGAATAGCTCCCTGCTTTCCATTTCATCTCCACAGTATGTCTTCTTACTGCTCATTTAGTCCTTGATGCCAGTTAGGCAGCTGGCATGGAGAGCAGCAGGCCAGTCAATCCTGCCCCTGAACCCAGCCAGCCACACAAGCACTTAGTCACCAGTGCACGATATAGCCCTGATTTTGTTACCTTTCTTCACAGCTATGGTGCGATTTTGACAAACCAGTAGCCCTGAAGAACCAGACGTTCAATTCATCTGCATCTTTTACGGACATCTGTTCCTATCCTGAGGTATTTCTGAGGGTACTTTTGAATCTGAGGCACAGATCCACAAAGGTTACACGGCAACCACTACCCGGGGTCAATGACCTGGGTACTGGTGGTGGAGTCAGGTGCCTCAGCAACACTGTGAAGCTGAACCTTTGCATCTATCCATACGCTGATAGAAAAAGCAGAGGCGGGTTACAGGAGGAATTAATCTTGTGACCTAATGGGATGTTACAACCAAGTGTCAACCTTTGAACTTCATACGGAATATTTATGCTGGAAACACATCCAGCAATGATTCAATGAACCCAGTGCTATAAAGCACACTACTCGATTCATATGAAGCTAATGGAGACCGATACTTCTTACATAGCAAAACCAGCAGACATTCTGCTGTAGTTATTTTAAATTTGCATTTGGAGGAAGAAAAATTCTTCTCTATGATGAGCAAGCAGGCAACAAAATCAACGGGTTGGTCATGTGTAAAGAAAAGAAGTATGTTGCTTAGAAAGTTGTATGGCGGTGTCATGATACTGCTAGCAGTATGTTGCAAATTGCAGGCTTGCAGGCTTTCCTACAGAGGAGCTGTACTAAAGAAAAACTGTAGCCAGAAAAACGAATGCTATCTCCCCTGAAGCTGCATTATAGGAATTAATTTAAACTACATTTGGACTGTGGGTGTTGGTGCTGCTATTTTAAATCTGAACAGCTCATGGCCATGATTTTCTCTCTATAACCAGTATCAGCTGCATGGATTGCGTTTGACAGATGATAAATCATTGAGAAAAATGAGACAATGAACAGATTAGAAAATGAGATGTGAATAAAACTTTCAGGCATCACATTTTAAGAGACTAATGTAACTAAACTAGACTGGCAATATTAAAAAAAAACAAACCAAACCAAAACCAAACCCACCCAAACCCACACAAACATGGCTTTATCCTCTCTTCAAGTAGCATGGGAAAAGATTAAAGCAGGAATATGATTCTCCCATCCTGATTAATGTGGGTCTTGTGGAAGTTCAGAATCCAAAGGAATACAAATTATTTTCTCTCAGTTGACTTTTCATTAGCAAACTTCTATGCAACATCTCTCCCTTTCCTCTTTCGAATATAGAGAATGTCCTTTCTCTTCTCATACAATGAAAAAGCCATAAAGGTGCAGAGGAGATTTTCACTAACACGGAAGTGTCATGCAAAATAGAGAATTTGTAATTTCACATACTATTTTAGCAAAATCCTTATTTTCAAGGTGCCCTGTACCCTAAGAAGACTTAGCTGGGCACTGAAATACAGAGCAATTTTTTTGTACTTCTGATCATTTGATCATTTATGTAGATATTTATGGAGCTAATATGTAGTCACTGGTCACCAAAAGTAAACAGTGCTGTTTTCTGTCCAGTATTTTGTCTTCACTGGTGTGCTGGCAATGGTGACTTGTGCAGTCTTTCTTCGTCTCAACTCTGTCCTGAAGCTGGCAGTACTTCTCATCATGATTGCGATCTATTCTCTGCTGACTGAGACCATTTACGCTTCCCTTTTTCTACAGTACGACAACTTTAACCACAATGGAGAGTAAGTGTTCACAGCCTCCTTTAGGAACTGCTTTTTATTAAGGTAATGGGTCAAGTCTTGCCAGAGAATATGCAGATAGCACCATAGTTAAGTATGGAGTGATGGTTGCAAGAGGTAAGGATGAATCCAAAAAGATTTATAATGTGATTGTTTCTCAGACCTTTTAATTAAAATGTTCTTTTTATGAGGACATTTAAATACTGACCAGGGTTTGTCTTTTATGTCCCCCGTAGTCTACCCATGTTGCTAAAAATATACATTACAGTGCATTTACATTTGTTGCTTCTATTCTTGAAAACTCCAGAGATACTGATTGAAACTCTCACCTCAATTTAAGAAAACAGGAGTGAACAACTGTTTTTTTAGGGGCAGGGTTTTAACTGAACAAAATCCAAACTATAATGGGTCATTGTGAAAGGTACAAGGAATATGGGGATGATCTCGTTTTGTAGGAGTGCATCTGAAGGACAGACTCCTCCTCCCAGGCTTCCTTCCCAGCTGAAGAGGAGGACAGAAGAGCCACAGTGATTTGCAGAGTCAGAGGTGCACTAAGTGTTGCAATAACTGGATCTAGAGCAGCAGTGATTTAGCTCATTCAGAAAAATACTTACTCAGTCTTTGATACTTGACCAATTCAGTATTGCAGTTGCTTGTGCTTATAAGTGCATGCCAGATGATGATCCTCAGCATAGCCTAAAAGCATGGATTTGCAGTACAATTAGCTCTCACAACAGCCACATCTTTACACATAGTAAAGCTCTGCAGGCATCTTTCCTTGCTAGCTTCCTGCAGTAGAAAGCCATTAAAGATTCGGGGTGCGATTCCTTTTCCTAATGCTAGTTATCCCCCTACAGACTAACAATATGACATAGAGCATATTCACAGCAGACCCCAGCAAATATGACAAATGGCAATAAGCAATACTTAGGCTAAGTAACTAGAAAATCATGATCGTTGTCTTTAATTTTTGTCACTAATCAAGCATACCAAAGAAAGATTCTCCCTTGTGTGAAAATCTTTGAGAATTCGTAGTTTCTATTCCCTGTGTCAATGAAACTCTTTAGTGACTTTTAATACAGAAGAATCAGAAAGAGCCAGGAATATCCTCTAGAGAAGCCAACAGCCCAGGACACAGGGAACTCAGATGAGATGCTCCACACTGAGGACAAGAATCTGAGCTTCAGCTCTGACATTAGGGAGCATGAGGTTGAAGGCTGTAGGCCTGGAAACTTACCTGTTTTCTTACATGTACCGGTTAGTTGAATAAAAGGTTTTGCAACTCCATGCAAAACTCATCTAGCTCATATATTTGTGACTATAGTTACACTACCTCAATATGCAATAATAGATGAGCTCATAACTAAGACTTTTGAGGTAATCGTCTTTAGCCAGTGTACTAAGGAACCTTTGGGAGGTTGTATTTCAGACAACTTCAAAATAGGAAACATTTGAATTCCAAAATATTTGCAGATGACAAAGATGTTTCCTGCCTGTCTTTTGCTCTATACTGATGACTCATTCCATAGTGGCACATTTCCTCACAGTAAATTCTTCACTAGGCTCACAAAGTCAGTTCAGTTTGCTGTTTTGCAAGAAAATTTCCTTTTGGTTAAGCCCCCACCAAGCTCTGCTCTTTCTCTCTCTAATTCCTCTGTCAGAGAGTTCCTCTTTATCACCTGATCTTTTTTCAAAATTACTACAGAAAATGGATTTAGGGTCTGAACTTTGCTTTATTCTTAGAACTCAAGGTACACAGAAGAAAGTCCAAAAGTCTCTTCCAACTTACGCTCTTTTTTTACTCCTTTATTAACTTTTTTCGCATCTTCAAGCTTTTAACACCTCTTAATCACTGCCAAATATCTGTGTTCGATTTACCTCCAAATTGAGTTCTTTCTCCCTTTTGTTTTATTACCAGTCCCTAACAGTTCACCAACCTCTTCATTTATGTCTTTTCCCTGGGTAACACGCCTTTTTAAAACCCCCTGATATTACACAGAGCCTCACTTTCTTCAGTTTTGTCCTCTTTCCATGTAACTGTATTTTCTCCTCATATTTGAAGTTTCCCTTTCCCTGCTCCAGCCTCAACCTTTCCCCATCCAGATCCCACCTCCTGTACTCTGCAGGGGCTGTGGTGTTCATGTGGCTGTGGTTGTTTAGCAAGATCCGAGGAAAAGAGACCGACTGACATGCAACTTATATACCACGTTTGAAAGAGAAAGACCCACACCTTCCGTGTACCTACTGTAGGCCACAATTTAGTTATTTAATACATTCGTCTCCAGTGAGCACTCCAGTCATGCTCCTGTTCTCTTGAACTAATCATTACTAAGTTAAAATTTCAAATACCATGTTTTACAGAACAACAAAAAGTACCAGGGTGCATTAAGAAATGAAAATTCAGAACAATTACAACATTGACAAATCAATAATTGTATTTTATTTTGGATTTTTTTTTCCAGCACAGACTTCCTGGGTACAAAGGAGGCATCTTTACTACTGATGGCAATGTTCCTTTTAGCTGTATTTTATCACGGTCAACAGGTAATGCAAACATTTGCTTTAACCATTCCTTATATCCCTTGCAATTACAGGATGTGACAATAATTACTTTCAAAATGCCAACTGCCTTTTTATTCACTTGAGCATATGACCTTTAACAATTTAATAAACCATACGCAGAATCTGAATAAAGAAAGCCCACGTCTGACACTGCCTAGCATTGTTAAAGGACATGTGAATATTACATTCAGCAATACAGAAGTTATATTGTGTTTTCTGACAGAAATTGAAGGAAGAAATGGGACTTCATTTATCTTATGTACGTGTACAATTCCAGTGGCATCTGACTGCTTCAGTGCACTTGAATAGGCATAAAATAGAAATGAAGAAAGGGAATAACAAACAATAAATAATAAAACTCCCGTGAAACAGCTTAGTGTGTTCATAGAGGAAAAACAGCAGATCTGAGGAAATGAGGAAAATTTGCAGTTAAGCACCAACACTGACTGCTTTGGGTCATGGACCACTTGCAAGAATTCTTTCACATGGACCTAGATCATAACCAGGATTTAGGGGCCTTGGAGCATTAGGATTGATATCCTAATGGAGAAACTGAGAACCTGGGTGTTTCAAGAGTCCATACACAGTGCACAGGGACAGTGAAGTATGACAAATTGAGATTTAGAGCAACAAATGCATTGAGTAAAAGCCACCTAAAGCAGGGTATTTCCTCCACAGCGCGTCTGGTTGGCAGCCTATAGACTCCTGCATGTCAAACATGCTGACTTCAGGCAGTTTCTACTAACGTAAAGGCAAATGGGACCACTGCATTAAAGGAAGCAGCAATCACAATTGCCTTTAGACTTCGTCTTGCATGTTCAAGTCACTTAAAGATTTTTCCTTCAGGAGTGTTAAGCTGGTTAATACCAGCACTTCTCAATCTTAATTTGACTGAGGCAATAAGAGAGGAATGTTGCTGTGATGAATAAGACAATATTATATGCTTTATTACAATATTGCCATAACTTTATAAGTTGTGCAGGTACCTAAAGGCTCCATTCCTTCCATAGGAGAGCAGAAAGAAGTCAACAGCTAAATATCCTGGTAACGTTCTTCCTTTTGATCTTCTGAGGAAATGAGGAATGAGTGGGTAGGGGATGGAAAGGATGAAATGCGCTTTGTGCCCAGGTTTAAATTTGATAGAAAACAATGTACTTTGACATATCTTTATCAAGACATAAAGCCCATTCAGGAAAAACATGCAATAAATAAGAGCTGAAGATCCCAAATTGATGATAAGCCTTATAATATTCCCAGTGATTCTTCACACATGCAAAGATACACATCTAAGAGTTGGGAATCATCTAACGTGACAGTAAGTACTAAGAAAGAAAACACCAAAGGAGTTTAAGTAGAGTAAAGATTACTGTAAGGCAATGCTCTTCAGGATCACAACTCTGAGGGTAAAAATCCATCTACTACACAAGCCTAATCTGGGGTGTTTAAGAGTATTTTCCTGCCCAGAGGCCCGTTAGCACAGCACAGTCTTTTTCCATCCTATTAATCTTCCTTGTTCCATGAAACAGGGTGGCTGCACTCAGACTACACTTGGAAACGGTCCCTGAGGTGTGCTAATTCCTGCATGTTCTCCCAAACCATTCATAGGGCCAGTCTGTCAGTTTAACAGTATCCAAAGGCAGTGCCCAGGAACATTCCTTGTATTGTTTAATTTCTTAATACAGAGTTAACCTAAAGTTCTCTGTATAAATGACAACCAAAAAAATAGATAAAAATTTCATTCAGAGAGTATTAAAAGAAAATCTTTACTAGTCCGAATTGGTGGGGAGCACAGTAAGTCCAACACAGCCGTCCTCCAGCACAGCTTGCTTTCTCACAAACTGCAGAAATATTCTGAAATAAAATTGTTTCAAACTTGCCTCGTTCTAGGTGGATTTACAAAACAGATTACTTCTGTAAGTTTAAATCTACGGGACTTAAATTTCTTAGCAACTAATTACTGTTCTTTATCCATCGTGATTTAAAGTTAATCCCCACTTTTGCACCCAGAATGTTAAGTTGGAGTCGAGAAAAAGTTGTGTGAGACTGTCTAATTGGACTCCAGAGATTTCTTAAAAATCTTACGTGTACTTCAGCCAATAAATCTTGAGGGCCTCTTGTGCTAAACCCATAATTAAAAGTAGTTGTGGTACTGTTACATAACATCAGGCTAAATAGACTAATTCCCTATTAGAAATTCAATTTCATCTGGAAGCACAACTTTTTAACATGAGTAATAAGTATTTTACAGCAAACTAAACGAGAAAAAGCACATGAAAGAAGATTTGTGGATAATTTCGCAGCTAGACTTAGTCTATTGTAAAATGAGTTCATTTACTGCTTTATCTTTTGAATGAGTTGAGTAGAACGTTTCACACAAACATAAACTGTTCCTTGAAATCTTATCAAAATACAATACCATATACAGTCCTCTACTAGAAATACATCTCTAGTGAAAACACACAATACAAATAGCTTGTTAACCCTGAGCGAAACCTTCTGCCATGGTTTTAAAAAGGAAGGTTTTAACACTTGCAAAGAGGGAATAAAACTACCCGCAGCAGACTCAGGCTGTCCTCTCCCTCCACCCCAATTAGACCTAAAAAGAGGCCTTATAAAACAGAGGGCAAAATCCTCTCTGGTTTCTTTTGGATTGTAGATGTGCAGGTAGATCTTGCCTACACCAGATGTGTGTTCTGGTGTAGGCAAGTGTTGACTGACTGACTGGTTTGCTCTTCTGCTTCTGGGGCTCTTTGGTACAAAGGAAATGTTGAACATTGGCAGGACAGGCACAGACAGCTATGCACCTAATGACTTCGGGATGTCAGGGCTGGAGCTTAGCTCTACAGAGCCTTGTGGGAAGGGAGGAAGGACTGACATCCCTACACAGCAATTTATCTGCAACAAGCGTGACCCTCTGAATCTTCTTCATGCTTGGGAAAAAGGGGAGGAACAAGGAAATGTGAAGAGGAGATTGTGCCAATTGAAAGAAAAAAAGAGAGGAAGACCATTACTACTACTATTATTATTATTGTTATTATTATTATTATTATTATTTATTATTATTACAGTTATTAGTAGTATTAGCTTTATCCTGATATTATGCTTCAGGTCTCTTCATTATCCTTTATTCAGATTTCAGTGTAGTGAAGAAAGGGTATTTGCTTGTTTTTTTCTGGAGTTGGACTGTGTTCAGCGGCTGAAAGTGTCCCTTTGCGATGTAAATCCTCTTTTTTCATTCTCTAAGAATATGCTGTCCTTCAAATGCTGATCCTTACCTTGTGCTTTCCTTGCATGTGGCAATTGTCTGCAGAATGGTTGGGTTGTACAGCATTTAGAGAACATAGGTGATGTTAGGCTTTCTGTGTAATACATCTTCTCTATTTTCTTCGCTCACTATTGCAATTAGGGGAGTTTCATAAAGCTACTTATCAGGGCAAGAAAGCCTGGACATTTCAAGACTGATGTTGCAGGCAGTCATTTTTCTTGGCAGCACTGTTCCCAGGAACATTTCTTTACACAATCAAAAAATAAACCCAAAACTCAACCCTATAATTTTGTTAGTTTTAACAAATACCAGAACTTAGCAAAGCGTCTTCTTCAAGTTTTCTATTTTTGAGCTTCTTATGCAGTACACCCTTCTCTTTCTGAACTGGCAGTGTCATCTCAGTTGTCCACTGCTGATGCAAGAAAAATATTTCATGTTATAATGTGATTATAAACAACAAGAAAGACATTATCTAAAATGTAAAGATTAGCTGCTGCTATTCTGAGCTAGGTTTAGAGATGTGAAATTTTCCTCTATAGCAGCACAAATAAAAGCAGCTGTGAAAAACTGTACTACAGTTCTTTGTAAACCTTTCATTGTAGTAGCAGTAAATAGCTGAAGCGTCAAAGAACTCAGCAGCTCCTGCTCCAAGCCAGTCTGTAAAATACCTTTAGAACTCCTTGCAAAATTATAGTGAATATTGTCTTCTCAGTCAGCTGGTAAAGACGACAGTCAGTTATGTTCTGGTGTGGGCTCTGTCTTCTGCAGTTAATTTAGGGAATTAACAGTCACAAGACAGAAGATAAAAATATTAGAACCAGAAAAGACATTAATTGTTTATAAAGGTGGCAATAGCATCCAGAGGGGAATTAAATCATTGTGGAATTTCATGTAAGCTTCAGAAGTTTATTTCAAGCCAGGGTCACATTTAGCTTTTAGGAAGGAAAGCTCCCTGGAGTACATGACCCTGGAGTACAAGACCTATAAGTCCCCTTGCAAGGTGCTTTGTATTTTCTTCTGAACAGTTTGCCACTGGTCACTGCAGGTGACGAAAAATGTGAACAAGATGAGTCACTAAACAAGGCCTGAACCCCCTCTTAGTCACTCCCACCCACTGCCCTTTATTTCAGCTTGGAACATGAATTATATCTCAACCACTTCCTTAATCCCAGAACCTTTTGGGAAAACATTTGATGTCTCTCCCAATTGTAAAATTCATCTGTTCGCTGGTATAATACGCTTCTCTGCTGAGTGTTTGATTATTATCTCTGTTTAGAGCACCTTAAGCCTCACAAATATATTTTCTCTTTCATTTTATTGCACACAGATATTTCCATCACTTCAATATGTCTGTAGCTTAATAAATCACCCCTTGTGCAAGCTACAATAGCACCCGCCTTTTAAAATCTGCTTAAAGCTCTTTCACTGTAACGCACCTGAAAGTTCTAGCAGTTTTGGTCTTGTCCACATGCTGACACACATGTGCCTCTCAGGCAGGTCACAGGATGTTTTGATGTGTTCCCTGCTTCAGCTAGCAGTCAGTTATCATTTATGTATATACAAATACTCATTTTTATATATATATATATAAAAATACACAATACGTACATATATGCATATATAATCTGTGCTACACAGGAATCTTCCTTTTGTTCTGTACACCTACAGCACTGAAAACCATTTAAATTTGATTTGTAGCTAAGGGTATCAGGCACTGTCACTGTGCGCATACTACATTGAGATTGCAGACAGTGCATCCACAATACCTCAGGGACAGCATATTAGAGGGGATATCAAACAGAATGTCTTTTACTATATTTAAAAGACATAAATCACAAATCACTGCATGTTCCAACAGTAGAAATACCTCATTTTGGTGTCACAGACTTGAAAGTCCTCTTTGGGAGTGTGTTGGGCTGTCATATATAGTTTTGCTGAGAGATGCTCATCCTTGAGAAGTAAACTACTTGTTTCTGCAAAGTGTTTAGAGTGAACCTTGTGCTATTTTCTCATGAAACCAATTTCATTTGAAAACACATACGAAAAGGGGAACATATTTATTTCATACCAATACCGATGTCTTTCAATACCTTATCTCCTGTCTGACTCCATTACTTAACTAGTAAAAAGGTATTTACAAGGAAAATAATTGTGTGACATTTTCTAGCCACTGACCATAGCAGTATTATGACAAATATTATTTTGCCTGAGATTCCTCTGAGACACTAACCATACACAAGGCAAAGAAATAAAATTCTTTCAGAGTCAAAGATCTTCAGCAGCACTGAAGGCAGTTACAAGGCAGGAGCAGCCTGCCAGGATGACAATACTGTTTCTAGTCTTATCTTGTGAGGTTTTATTTTTGCTTTTTTTTTTTTCTTTCTGGAACTACAGCTCGAATACACAGCAAGGCTGGATTTTCTGTGGCGTGTTCAAGCAAAAGAAGAAATCAATGAAATGAAGGAGTTAAGGGAGCACAATGAAAATATGCTACGCAATATTTTACCCAGCCATGTTGCCCGTCACTTCCTGGAGAAGGATCGGGATAATGATGTATGTACCACTTTTATTTTTGATACTTTTGTATAATTAGCAAATTACTACGCAGATCTGTTAGGAAATTGTTAGAACTTAGTTCTCAATAGGATCAATTGCACAAATACTATCAATGTTTGGTATTGGATCCACATTATAAAAAAATCCATGTTTCAAAGTAAAGGGTTCTGCACTTCTACAACCACATCTGGAGTGGTGTTTCCAGATTCAGGTTCACCAGTAGGAGACATACGGACTGGCTAGAGCAAGTCTAGCAGAGAGCCACCGAGATAATTAAGGGATTGAGGCACACGATGTATGAAGAGAGGATGAGAGAGCTGGGTCCTTTCAAACTTAAGAGGAAAAGACTGAAAGAGGATCTCGTTGTTGTCTTCAGCTACCTAATGGGTGTTTGTAGAGAAGACAGAGCCGAACTATTCTCCAGTGTTCAAGTGGAAGGACAAGAGGCAATGACACAAGTTGCAGGAAAAAGTATCTGTTAGGTACAAGGGAAGAAAAATCCCCAGGAAAGTGGTCATTGCATCAGGGCTCAGAGAGGTTGTGAAATCTCCAGTCTTGGAGATATTCAACCCTCAATACAACAAGGCCATGAGACACTTGACCTAATCGGCCTTGCTTTGAGTGGGAACTGTATTAGATAACCTTCAGAGGTCCCTTCCAATCTATGACTCTGAAAATCTAATATTCCTAAAAAAAGACATGTGAATTTAACAGAATACCTGTTCAATATTAAGATAGCCCAGTGTTGCAGAAGTATTATTATAGTCCTGCCCATTATTATAGATGGAATCTGTGTAAGAGGCTGCAATAGACCTAAGCATCTTGCATTTATCATATTGCCCCTGAATTGCTCCTTTGGGGCAGTTAACAAAACACACATGTAAGAAACATAGTTTGTGGCTACATTCCTAAGAAGTGTTTATAGTACACAAAGAAAAGCTTGATAACAGATATTTCTAAGACAGAGTTTGAAGAAACATTTCTGAAGGGATAAAGGAAAGTTCAGAATTTTTTTCTGAAAGCAGCAGTAAGTCACTTACTCTTTATTTGAAATAAGGAAAATCTGTATTATAATATTATCTGTGAATAAAGGCTATTGTATGATGAAACTGAAATTTTCTCATGTAATGCTGGAATTCTCTTTTATCACAAAGAGGTTACAAATGTGGCAAGATTCAGGTTGCCAGTACTGACATATCTATTTATTGTGCAGCAAAAAGGAATCAAGACTACCCTTTTCTGATCGTACATTTTGGAAATAGATGTAGCCAGACAAATTAGACTGCACAATGAGGAATCATTGTGTTCTGAAATGTGATTTCAAATATCACCTAGGGAAGGACGGCATAGTGAGAAGCTACAAGAAAAGGCACTTTAGAAATCAGCCTCTTGAGGAATTTTACACTCTGTCAGTATTAAATTACCATAAACTGCTCCAGTCTTATTCAATATATTCATCAATGACCTGGAGGAAGGGACAGAGTGCACCCTCAGCAAGTTTGATGGTGATACTAAACTGGGAGGAGTGGCTGACACACCAGAAGGCTGTGCTGCCACTCAGCGTGACCT